CAGATCTAGGGGTTGAAAATCAGAATAAACAGCTGAACAGTCACCTTTAAATCCGCCACTGCAGTCATGCATTATTTGTAAATTTATGCACGCACACCCTAAATAATAGTGAATACCATTAAAACATATATAAAGTAAATAAATACGCACCACATTTAAATACAGCTTTCCAGTACTAAATATAAGCAAAACACAAGTTATAAGAATATCATAAATTCATAGGTAGCCATAGGATTTTTCTTTTCAGTGAAATAAATTTCACAAAAGTTACTTGTTACCATTTACAATTTACAAAATTTATAAATGAACATTATGGTGTCAAAGAATAATGGAAGCAGTGGTAGACAGGAAATATCAATCAGATGATTGGGAAAGATGTGAAGTAAACGAATTTGACATGGAAAGATACTATAAGATCAGTATATAATTTCTATGTTCATGAATTAACATATAAACATTTACAACTAATAATTGAAGAAAAAATGCACGTGGTTCAAACGCCCTTCATGAATTGTAAAACAATTCACAATCAATGTTTCAAGTTGTAATTCTAGAAAGAAAATACTTACTCTCTACAAAATTGTAAAGGAAGCGCGACCGACACCGAAATGAGAAAAGTGAAAAGAACGTCAGCTCACAAAAATAGCAAATTCTCCACTGATCCACAAAAGCTGTGGGCAGCTCATACCAGTAGGTTATTTAAGATTTTAGTTTTTACACATGCTGCTTTTTATAACCTAACTCCACCATATATAATTGATCTGGTCAAACATTATAGTCCTCAAAGATCCCTGAGGTCTGGTGACAAACTTTTACTGAAAGTTCCCAAATCAAAGTTAAAAACATATGGTGTCATAACATTTTGTGTAGCTTCACCGGTAAAATGGAATAAGTTACCAATTTTTATTAGACGAATAGAATCACAAGATTCTTTTAAAAGGAATTAAAAACTCACATTTTTAAGACATTTTATTCATGAATTTTTTAATTTTACTTTAAAGAAACCTTGGATTTTTTACTTTTAATTACTATTTTGTTTACTACAATTTAGTCTAGCTCTGATCTATATAGTATATATTTTAATCATTTTTATCTATAAACTTCTTTGTATTTTATGTTGTACAGGCTATTGAACATTTTATGGATTTTAAACTTGAAATAAATATGTTATTATTATTATTATTATTATTATTATTATTAGGTGACGCCCTCTATTTGCATGTATACACTGCAGCCACTTTAATGCCACCCTTACATTAAGTAATGCGAGCATAACTGGGCCTCAAAACTACTTGACTGTGTTTTGTATTGTCTATTTTACATCTTCAGTATCATGTCAGTCATGCTTCTTTTTGATCCCGTGTACAGTTTCCCATTGCTAATACAGGCCTACCCAACTACCAGACTCGGCACCTACGGATCCAGAATAAACCGGTATATCAGACCACACTACCCGTTTTCAAGGTGTGTGTCAGATCGCATTACAGAGTATCAGCCACCATTACAGAGTATCAGTCTGGTAGTTGGTTAGGCCTGTAATAGTAACAGTTGTACATATAAAACTCCTTCCAACAATCCATTTGACCCATTTTAGCATTTGTTTTTCCCCTGAATTTGAAGGAAGGTTTTATCGAGGATAAGAGGTTATATGTGACTGACCCGGTGGTTTAACATTTGCTATTTGCCACTCTGCCGAAAGCTGAAAATTTCATACCAATTGTGCAGGTTCTTAGTATCTGTCACTAAATTATTCTACCCAACTATTAGAAGATACATGTATTTCCAATAAGAATTTTTTTGACAGATGCCGTTAATCCCAAATACGCTGATCATGGCGGTCTACTGGTGATGATGGTGCTGCTTACGTCACTGCTGATTTATAACACAATGAAAGTACCAAGGAAGAAGGACCTAGTAGAACTCAAGTAAGAATTCCTTTATTCATAAATGAATGTTTGTCGTTGAGTACACAGTATAATTCATCATCGAACACACAGCATAGAATATTTTACAAATGATTTTGAATACAGGCATATTATAGCTTACTGCTACGGCTGAAAAAGAGTATTGTACTTCCCCACAGTCTTCATCCCCACATTTCACCAATGCAACTCTGGCAAAGATGGTGAAGTCCAGACGTAAACTTCTCATTGTATAAGTTTTGATCTGACAAACTAAGTCAGTACGCTTTAAGACTGGTTAACCTTTAAGACTACGTCAGATCATCTCTGATCTAAAATTGTACTGTAATAGGGGGTACCGGAGGAGACCAGAATTGTGCCGGAAGTGAGAGAAAAAAAAGCAGCGTTAAGATAACATTTTATCTCTATGCATTTGGGGCAGAGAGTACTTGTAGAAATAATGAGCATGATATGAAAACATGCCACAAAACTTAAGAGTGAAAATTAGTGCTTAATTGGCAGCCAATTTGTTTTGAAATATATGCTTCATCAACCGCCAGCGCGACAAGAGCGTCAAAGGAAAAGAATTCCCGAGAGAATTCCCGAGAGGGAATTGTCATGTTGTATTTTTGCATGTATGCAATCTGTTATGTCCATATCTAAGTATTTTTGGGGTGTTTTATGGTTTGTGTTGTTAGAAAAACTGCTTTTTTTCCGAGTCCACGTATTTACTCCCGTTCACCTCCTGCTAAAATGACCACTCAGCTTCGCGTCCTACACCACTTGACGTCACATGACATCACACTTCCGGCACAATTCTGATCAATTCTGGTCTCCTCCGGTACCCTTTATTGTTATATAAATATATTTTATTGTACTTTTATTGTTATATTTTGAAAGCTTTTTAAAAAAAATTATTTCATCTTGACTTCAAAACTTAGAAAAGCTTATTAAACTTGACTTTCTTTGCCAGTTGATACGTACGAAACATTGATAATTTTTAGAATTCAACATGGCCGTCAATTTGTTTTATGAATAGCAAGAGCCATTTGTTCAAATCAATTGTATTCTTCAGTCCATTGTTCATCATTGCATGTTTATGTATACATCCAAGCAAATTGCGATCACATATTACAACTCTGGAAGTCATTAAAAAATACAAAGACAGATTCCAAACTATAATAAAAAAAGGCAAGGAAACAGCTATAAAACAACAAGTCTTTTAACTGAAATAGACCAATGAATCCAATATAAATACGTATAAAGTAAAAAACAATATACCTGCAGTCAAGACATAGCACACAATAAAACATTCTTTTGTTAAATAATACAAAAACGAAAAGCAATATTTCCATCAATGCTACTCTATGATCAAACCAAACATTAATTGCGGACATTACTTGCGGATATCTCAGTCCTGACAATTAGCCTTTAATTCTAAATCAAAAATTACATTGTAGAATTATTATGAAACGCATTATCATCCTCGTGTGTGCAAAGGAAATCATTATTTTGAAATTAAAAGGAGTTGTCAAATCGATCTTCTTAGGGTTGGATTATTCTTATTCTTTATTATTATTATTATTTTATTTTATTTTATTTTATTTTTATTTTATTTTTTAATTTATTTTATTATTATTATTATTATTTTTTTTTGTAATTTTAATACGTTTAACATCTGGGTGGGTAAGGGCATTTTTTGTTTAATTATGAATTTTATCATCAATAATCAAGACCCAGAGAGTGACATTCATACCCAGCGGGTGGAACCCTTGAGGTGAACTATTCTTGACAACGAGGGATAGTTCGGGGATACACGATAGCTACCCATCGACAACATGTAGTTGAATGTTGTTTTTGAAAATATATACTGACAGTCAATGGAAGCTTTGAGGTAGAAATGTATGCATAATTACACTTGTAGGGGAGTTTTTATTATTCATTGTGTATTTATTGATGACTTAATGCTCGGGTAGTTGAGAAAATGGTGAGCTTTCATGTTGTCATGGTTCACTGCACACGGGTTAGTCTTTTTGCAAAAGTGGACCAAATGCACACTGAGCTATATCCAGTGGGTATCTTCACATTTTGAGGTTTGGTTAATATATATATATATATATATATATATATATATATATATATATATATATATATATATATATATATATATATATATTATGCAAGCGTCTCGATTCCATGGCCCCGTATCTCGAAATAGAATCGGTTATGGAATCGAGACACTTGCGCACGTGCGCAACATAGCGAACCTTTCGAGATACGGAGCCCAGGATTGCTACATCAGGTTGCATCACCTGTAGGAGCAGTGTCACGAAACTGAGGGTCCGTGTGACAGAAAGGCCGCCCTCCATATAATAGAATGGTTAGGGTTAAGCCTCGTTCCGGTCACAACCGGTGTAACATGAAAATCTGACTCCCATGAAAATGTGACTCCCCAGTCAGATTTTCATTATGAAAATGTGACTCCCCAGTCAGTTTTTCATAATGAAAATCGGACTCCCCCCANGTTTTTTTTTGGGGGGAGTCAAAATTTCATAGGGGGAGTCAGAATTTCATTATGAAAATCTGACTGGGGAGTCAGATTTTCATGATGAAAATCTGACTGGGGAGTCACATTTTAGGGGAGTCAGATTTTCATGGTACACCGGCCGTACGGGCTCTTACGGCCTGTTTGCGCCCAAATTTTGTGCAGAATCTAACGTGCCGCGCAAGCTCTTCTTGCGAAATTTGGAGCTCGCAGACAGCCCATAAGCACGTACGGAGGATGTTGGACATGCCCAAAAGATTCTACGAATAATCTGCGAACAGCGAGGCCGCAAACGTAACTTGCTGCACTAACAAGGAGTTCGCGAGAAGTATGCAAGTGAGTCGTGCGTGGTCCAAGACGCACGTCTTAAACAATGAAGGAGCAATTGTCCTTTGCATGTTGAGTACGACGCAGCTAACGAACAAATTCTAGAGCACGGCGGAAGTGGAGTATAAAGGGCGTGCTCACGATGCACGCTCGTGTCTCGACAAATGACGTCGCTTGTGCCTCGTGTACAACACTTCAAAAATTTCGAAATTTGCTTCTAATATCAGCTTCTAATATACCTCCTAAAGGCAAGGAAAAGAAGCTAAGAGAACAGAAAAGAAGGAAGGAGGAAAAAGAAAGAAGGGGGAACAGGAGGATAAATGACGTACGTGGTCAGTGCGTCAATACAAGCGTGTGAGGCAAGTGTGAACCAAAAGGAAATTATTTTCGCCGTTCTTGCATTCTTTTCATAAATGGTGAGTGCGTGCCAGGTACGCAGGTAGCAAGACAAACTCAAGAAATGAGTACATCTTGCAATTAGCGTCCCTGCTTTTTACGTGGACCCTGCGACTCGCAAGGCAGACTTGAGCCTTTCCATTGCAAACTTTCCTCTAGCTCTACGAACTCCACGGCCTCCACTGCACCCAAAATTCGCAGGGGTCGTACGATACTAAATTCGTACGTCCGGTTGTGACCGAGGCTTTATTTTGACCTACGTAGGTCAAAATCTAGGGCGACGCTCACATGTACAAATGAATGGGAAGCGGACTCTCTGTCTTGGGGGACTTTCTGGTACATGACACCGGTTTTGCCATGCCTGTCGTACAGCACAAGAAGCACCTGCCGATGTGATTTTAATCAGACTAAATATGAAAAAAAGTAGTTTTGCAGTTTTAATCACTTTCTGCAATATGTTTTTTTTTTTTTTTTTTTTTTTTTTTTTTTTTTTTTTTTTTTTTTTTTTTTTTTTTGGGTTTAAATTTTTTTCTTTTCCTTCTTGTGTTTTTTTTTTAGGAT